TTCTTTCCCCCCCCCCCCCCCCCCCCTCCCTCTCACATATGTGCATTATTTAAAACTGAGGCTACATAAAAAAGGCATGGGGAACAAAAAGGGGTATAAGGGGTCTTTTCCCATTATAAGATGGCAACGTGGGAGGGAAACAGAATACTCGCATACATGCGCACCGAAGTCGGACAGTATTGAAAAGGATCTCATCTGTCCCATCAGAGCAAAACCGCTGCTTATTTTTACCTATATCAGCTTATACCTTCATCTCCAGGAGAATCAAGAAAATTTTTAAACTTTCAGCACCGAATCCGTTAAGACCCAGGGTCAAAGAAGCAGGCATTTCGCAAGATTTCGATTTCTAAATGACGCTTTCATTTGTTGCTTTTACACTTCGCTAATTACGAAAGAAACAATCTCAGTTACAATTTTCCTGTCCTATTTTAATTTAAATATGAACTTCGAAAGAAGTGGTAAAAGGACTACTCGTGATGCGAGTTCAAGGGGATAATTTATAAATGTCGATATGATGTAGTGGCATAGTTTTTAAGCTTCCAAAGAATGAAGCGCAGAAGAAAATCGATTCCAGAGAGGATAATGTGATAGCGTAGAGCACTTGCACAATTTTTTTTCGCCGCAGTCGCCCACACCCATATGATAGTCCATTTGTCCTCCTTCACAATTCACGAGGCGGATCTATACTTCCCCATGGTTGATTTACTCAGTGTGTCGGGGAGGGTTGATGCCGTGGGGAAGGCGGAGCTTTAATTGGTATGCGGGTAGAAGGAAGTAGCGTGCTAGGTTCTATGAGGAGCCAGGAGCTCATTGAGGAGTCCCGTCTCATTTTCGATAATTCAGGAGAACTTTGTGCCAGAGAAACACGGGACGAGCCCATTTCCGGCCTTCCATCGATCCTCATCCATGCATGGCCTCCCTTGCCTTTTCCTGTAGCCTCTTTTACACGTCATTCTGTCTCTCATGATTGGACCCCTGCCTCTGTCAGGAGCATGAAAAGACCCCACTTATGAGTTCATTTATTCAGAATAGTCATAATCCCCGAGTCATCTGAGTAGGAACCATCAATATAATTTTCTAGTTCCGTCATCCTTGAGGAATTTTAATTGGAAAAGCAGCTATGTTTCCTGTTCAGAAAATGTTATCTGGGAAAGAGAACGAACTGCCAATTTTCCGCATCCAGAGCAGGTGGATCGATTCACAGCCTTTGTCTCAGCTGAATAATGGGTTACATGAAGTAGCAGGATGTGGCTGTTGGCATGCCGATGGTCTTAGTTGGCTCCGTTCCATTTGGGAAACCCCTCTCAAAGCCTCCATTCACGTGGGAGTGTGCTCCAATATATAGACAGGCGCATGTGTTCCTCTGATCAATTGAATTAATGAGACAATGTTCGAATGAAGCGTCAATATATTCTGTCCTGGCCGAATGTATCGACGTTGTGCGGGCCATCGGATACTAAGATGTCATCATTATAGCGTGGGTTCTCAAACCTTATTATCTATATTTTTACTTCTCATCGTATAGCAGTATCATATACATAACAATGCTCGCCAGTGCTATCAGGCGATACAGGATTCATGCAGTGGAAAGGACCGCCCGAGCCCTCCAATGAGATGACTTTCTAGCCTTTTCATGATGCCTCTCTGCCTTTCTCTGTCGCATCCATCATGTCCCGTCATTGCATCCTCCAGCACCAGTTGAGACTTCCATTCCCCATTACGTCCCCAATCTTTCTTCTAGGCCTACTCCCTTCATTTCTTCGGATTTTGCTGCTCATTTATCCAGATGACGACGCCCCCGACAGCTTTAGTAATAGAAGGAATCTCTCATGTTCTCTTTCCGCCATTGCCTATGCAAGCCGTTGCACTCGTTAGCCGCAACGTCAAGAAATGTCTCGTTCTTTGAGGTCACTCTTGCGACTTCATTCCTATCCGTCCGGCGGTTCACCGAGCAATATAATTCAGTGGTCTATTCGTTCTTGAGCGTCAACATCTCGGTAACCAAATACCCAGTTTTCAGTATCCCTTTTCCGTTTACGTCAATTGGAAGTTTATGCTGCTATCGAAGTCTTCTGCATTTCGAAGATAACGCCATCATCGGAATCTTTGACGTCAGACAGTTTCATATAGAACCATAGCTTTTGCGCAAGTATTTGCTGGCCGATTTTCATGAGTGCTAGGTGTATATACATCTACAACGGAGACAGACAGTGAAATGTAATGGAGCCTCGCTTGGCCTCATGTTATTACTCCCAAGTGGTATGTCATTAATCTTTCTCCTGTGCATGCACATACATATGCACACAGGGCGACTGAGACCGTAGGCCCTTGTTCAGGTATACATGGAGATGTGGGGAGAGAAATTTTTGTTGATGGATAAACGATGGAGAATCAGTATTCATTACGCTCACCACAACATGGCATCACATCCCCCCGAATACCTCCTCATCACATAATTCCTGCATTGAATTGCAGGAGAAATTTGCTGTTTGATCTTTCCCTCATTTCATCAGTTCTTTTCCCTGTGGCATCTATGATTGCCATAAGTTTTGATGGAAGTTGCAGGAAGTGTTCCAATTATAAGGTTTCCATTGAAGGAAGATTCTGGAAGCCAAATCAGGGATGAATAATGATGCTGACAAAACCATGAAGTACTGCTGCCGTGCACGATGAATGTAGCTCCAAAGACAACAGGCGAGACATTTCTTTCGTCCTCTCCTGGTCCCTCCCTCTCCTTCTCTCCCTTCCCCTCTCTGTCTCTCTGTGGATCAATAGAACAAGGGAAGGTCCGCATTGATCGTCCAGCATTCCAGAAGGGAAGTTCTTCATCGCTTTCCCTCGGGTGCACGCTCACTTCATGCTGTCACTTCTTGCCCATTATTTTGCATAATTTTTCCCCCTCCTAGGGGCTAGGACGATGAAATACCGGACAGAAGGAGTTGGAAAGTCCCAGAACGGGATGATCATTAGGTCGTCTATTGACCAGAGACTTCCTGGCCTTCCTGACTTTTCCTTCCTTCTCTTTCTTGCCTCGGTCTAGATGGATAAATGGGCGTGACCACGGGTGGTGGCGACGGGAATTCCGATGAAGGCCGAAAATCTCCGCCGACAGAAGAAGAGAGCGGATGGCTCCCAGATGGCATCGGGCTCGGGGACCGTCCACTTTCCGCCATGTCCACGTCGGTTGGTGACGAACCCGGACGTGGAAGGAGCTCAATATTCCGTACTCCCGAAGGAGAGGGAAATGGGAAGCTGGACGGGAAGAGGGTCATCATCAACGTCGGGGGTGTCAAGCACGAGGTTCTGTGGCGGACCGTGGAAAGACTACCTCACACTCGACTCGGTCGACTTCGTGAATGCACCAGCCACGAAGCACTCATGGAACTCTGCGATGACTACTCGCTCGAAGATAATGAATTCTTCTTCGACCGGCACCCACGTTCCTTTTCCTCGATCTTAAACTTCTACCGAACCGGGAAATTGCACATAGTGGAGGAGATGTGTGTGCTGGCATTCGGTGATGACCTGGAATATTGGGGCATCGACGAGCTCTACATAGAGTCCTGCTGCCAGCACAAATATCACCAGAGGAAAGAACACCTTTACGAAGAAATGAGGAAGGAAATGGAGAGCTTAAGACAAAGAGATGAAGAGGATTTTGGGGAAGGGAAGTTTGCTCACTACCAAAAGTTTCTCTGGGATTTACTAGAGAAACCAACGACATCCCTGGCAGCCCGAGTGAGTTTATTCTTCATCCCATCCCACCACTTTTCCTTCTTTCTTCTCCGACATTATAGACCTACCTTCGCGTTTTCTTTCTCTCTACTGTATCCTTCCGCCATTCGGGTCGTTTCAGCTGCTCTCTCGCCTTCTTCCGCCTCTTCCAGATAATGCGAGGAGGGAGGGGGCGTTATATCGATTACATGAGTGATGTCCCCCTATTCGTTCCCGTTTCCAAGGTTCTCACCCAGTAAGCTCGTGACATCTTTCCCTCGAGGAATCCTGACGATCAAAGACAGGGACTTAGGACGGATTTTTGCAAAAGTTGTTACCCTTCCACGCGATGAATAGAAGAATCCCCATGGGTTTCGAGGACCATCCAAATCTCTTTCTACGCCTTGCCCGCTCGCGAAGTTTTCCTCCCTCCGCCATACTCTATGCATTGCGCAGGTGTTGAAGCAGAATTCGCACTCCACTCCGCCCGAAAACTCAATGATCGTTAGAATGCGACTTTGCTCGGGACTTTTCTTATCTTTCTTATGGCTGTCTTTCCTCTGGATATTATTTTCTGCCCCCCCCCCCCCCCCCCCATGGAGTGCTAGATANATTTTTTTTTCCCCCCCCCCCCCCCCCCCCCACCCCATGGAGTGCTAGATAGATGGGGATGATAATGACTATCAGCTTCCCAATCACTCAAGAAATCAAGTTTACCAAAAGATGAGCCAACGTCATAGGCATACCGACCGGTGGAGCATTTCATTTAAAGTAAGAAAAATCTAGTGTGGAAAAAGCAAAGCAGCAAAGTATATTTCCGTTATGCAAAGAAAGGAATTTAAAGTCTCATTCTAAATGAAATATGAAGGTATCACATACCATATCGTTTCTATAAAATCCATTGCATTAATGCAAGCCTTGTAGACCTTCGATGGGCGCCCACAGGCTTACGGGGAAACTTTCTCGCAAAACGTGACAGACCATGAAAAATCGCGGAAAGGAAAAGAATAGAAGGTGGAAGTCACTCTTCATAACCTCTAATGTCTCTCTCAGAAGTGCCAAAGCATGTTCTTTTTGTGTTTCGTTTTATTCGCTTCTTACCGTGAAATCCATTTAATGCGGTTGGGATATTGCACCATCTGCTGGAAATGAATGAATGGGGGAAATAAATAATTCAGATCGACGTCTATTGAAAGCATCGACAGAATGGCGCTGGATTTCATGGCAAGGACGATCGAAACCCTTGAGATGTCACTCAGCCGTCCTTGTTGAGCTCTTCATGTCGCTCAAAAGCTCAGAGCATCCCCTGGCTCTCGATGAAAGTCTAATTCAGAATAAAAGTAATGGAAAAGCATTCCTGGTTACTCAGTCTTTGAGACAGCCTTGCCTGAATTGATGCTGTCCAAAAGGTATGCACTTATATATGGTATGGGTGGTATGATACGAAACTAACTTTTGAAAACTATCTGGAAAATGCAATTTTCTACCTTATATCCTCATCGGGAAATCTATTTACTTGTAAGGCATTTAAGGTATACTTTTTGCCTGATACCTTCTATTTCAGGCAGTTTTCACCAGCATTTTGCCAAACTCTGCTCAAGCTAAATATCCAGGTGACCACCCTGCCTCATTTTCAAAGTTGTCTGCCGCCTTCTTATACATTTCACTTCGTCCATGTTCGGAACGGAAACCTCATCCGCCAATACCAGATATCTACAATAAGACAACATTAGGAATAAAGTGAAGCAAAGCAAGGCAGGCAATATATGGAAATACTATTCTGACTTCAGAAACGTCCAAGACTCCTTAATTTCTATCATCTTAAGTCTTAAGAGCAATTCCATTCACATAAAGGTGGCTGTGGATACAAAAAATCGGTATGGAAGTTTATAACTCTAAATGAATTGTTCTAGTACCAGCTATACTCGTCGTGTCTGCAAGGTTCAAGGTTTTGGTAGGGACGTAAAGAGATTTTTTTCCCATCATGAGGTCTGGTGTCAAGGTCGAGCGTTCATAAACCATTAGACAGGCCTATCCCTTTTAAAGATAAATATTAATCATCTTTAAGAGGGATAGGCCTATATTATCCTATCATCTACTGCCTAGATACTTAAAGCAACGTTGCCCCCTATTCGGTTGATCCATGGAGGAATGTAGCTTTTTTAAGCTAGTCACGGAGCAGGGAAGTCATTACATCATCACTTATCACATTTCACGCGTTCACTAACCTTCAGGGAAAGGATTCATTCCTCAACCTGAGTCTCACCTTAGGTTTGAGTAACCTGAATCTCGCTTTGCTGCTACCATCTTGTTGCAAAAACTTACCAGGCTCCCCCGTTATCGATTCCCTTAACGATCTAAAATGCTTGGGTGAGGTCTCCCCTCGTTAGGGGTCATTCCATGTGAAATCAACACGGCCTTGTACTAGACCCCCACCGATTTTGCCTCAGCCATCTTCCCAGTGAGTACAGGCTCAACCCTTCTAAGCATTGTTCTTAATAAAGTCTTCGTACCTCCCTCATCATTTTAGCAGCCCTTTTGAAGCTCTCCAAGACCATTAAATCCCCTTTATTGCAGACCTCCAAAAGTGTACACAATACTCTAAATTGAGTCTTACCAGTGTTGGATGCATTGGGAGAATGACGCGCGAGCTCTTATTGGCATCGGAATGCCGGATGAATCCTGTTGCATTTAGCTACCGTCGCCTGCGCGTGCTCGGAAAACCGGAGTTCCTCATCGATCATGATCCTTAAGTCTCTCTCCCCCTTCGCTTCCCCCAGCTTATCCTCGGGAAAGACATTCAGAGGCCCATCGCCGCTATAGCCAATGCGGAGACTCTTGCTCGTTATTAAACTTCCCGAACCATTTCCTTTTTGCTTTATTAGTCCTAAGTGCCTCACGGTCCTCACGCCGTCCTCTACTTCCTTGATAGAGAAACCTATATTCTTGTCGCAATTTGCTGATTTCATTCGAGAAACATTGATCTAATTCTAATTTAAATCACAAATAGAAGTGTTCCGAAAACCTCGCTCGACTTTGCCAGACTTACACCGACACTTCATTTACAATTGCTCTCTTTTCTCATATAACCAGTTATCGACCCGACCTTAAATCCTGTGCCCTTCCATTTTAACCCGTAACCTCCTGTGAATTACAACATCAAAAGCTTTCGCTAAGTCTGAGTAAACGATGCCGACGGAATTCCCTTCATCCCTCTTATCCATCACCCAATTGTAAAATTCTAGCAAGTCGGTAAGGCAATTGCGTCGCCTCCAAAAGCCGTGCTGGTATTCCATGGATGAGTGAGTTTCCCTCGAGGAATTCTAAGATGTAATCCCATTGAATGCTCTCCATGATCTTCTCCGGAATGCTCGTGAGACTCACTGGCCTGCAATCCTCTGGATTGCTCTCACCTCTCTTCCTAAAGATCGGTGCGATGTTTGCTTATCTCTATTCCCACGGTATTTCCCCCCCGCTAAATGCTATTCTCGAACGAGTCTTACTGGCACCGATACCTCCTACCGAGTTTATTCGATGACAGGAGCTGAAATTCCATCGGGGTTGGTTTCCTAGTCTGCCTTAAGCTTCTCTTAGCATCAATAGCCAGTCGCTCTTCCATCTCTTGATTTCGCAGTAGGACCCTGGCCATTAAGCAGTGAGGGGGCTACGCAGTCCAGAGAGCAGAATCTTGAGATAGAAGTATAGTCCTGGGCTGATATGCGTCACTCTCGCGAAAGCAAGAACTTTTCTGAAGTGGAATGAGTCGAAAGATGTCTTCAGATATATGTGGCGTGCAAAGTGTGCTTTAAAGCAAGAAACATTAGAGGGTGGACCAAAAAATTTAAACAGCATGGCGCTTGAATCCGTTATTCATAGAAGGCGAGAGCTATGTAATCCTTTGATGGACAATAGATTTGAAGACCAACTCTTTTTTAAATTAAAGGGGGAAAAAAGTCAATATGACTTTCATCATTTTGAAGAACAGTAGGTAAATATGACAACCACTGGTCCCAATCTTCATCGAAATCGTTGAGGGATAGCATCCCACTTTTGGCTCGTCTTCACTTGTGGATCTCTCCGATTCTGAAAAATGATGTTTCGGCATGCATTCTACTGAAGTGTTTCCTGCAATGCATAAACAAAAGTGTGTAAATCAGGTTTCTTCTGTGGTTACATTTCTGGCTCGCCGAAGTCTTGAGTATTCCCTGGCAATTGGTTCGTCTTCCGGCAACATGGTGACGCGTTCCGTAGGCCTCAGGCAACTGTCTCTTTCATGCGTCAGCAGATGCCAAGCTTGATAGAACATGAAGTATTGCCCCTGAAAAGCCCCGATTTGCGCCTTTTCGATGAAGCAGCCAGGAGAACGTTTCAGGAAACGGTTTGCAGGAAGACCAGTTTAAGAATTTGTAGATCTTCCGGCGAAGATCACGTAAGAGTCGCCTGCTTTCTCCCAACGATTTTGGACCGTGCTGTTCGAGAATGCTGGTCGCATTTTTCAAAATAGCCTAGGCCAGAAGTTTTCTCGTTTATGACGTTATCAAAGAGTTGGAATACTTCGATGCTCCATCGGTGGATCCTTGCTTTCCCTTCTTGTGGATAGGCTATTGAAGACCCGTGCTTGTTTTTTTTTTTCTTGGCCCAACCTGCAGAGAGTATAAGCAGTACCCAGCCACCCCGCCTCTACGCAGGGGTAGAATGCAGGTGCCTGGCGACATTCCTATCATAACAAGGATAGGGTTCGAACGTGGGAAAACAGTTTTATGAAAAAAGATAATACGTTTCACATAATGAACTTTCCCCTAATCTCTTTCCCCGAGACTTCATCACCCCATATTGCTTACATGCGCCAGTAGCAGATGGTGCTTGCATTCAAAGGGTCTTCGCGGTGCTCTCTTCATTCCTATCCATCTGTTTCCCGTCTTTACATTCTAGGATCTTATCCTCCTGTGTACGTCGTGATGCTAACCAGAAGGGGATCGGTAGCATAATGGAACCGCGCCCATAAGATTTTGGGCGGTTCGATA